ACTATGTGTTATGTTATATATAATTTATATCATGTTAGTTTATTAAATGTCAACCAATAAATCAATTACATGATCATGATTCATAAATTATACAAATATATAATTATGAAAAATAACGGGGTATGTATTATGAAAACATATAATGTTTGAAAATTCATTTATATACATATAGAATCATACAACATATAAACAATGAGTGGTATTAAGCTATTTGGTTATAAATAAATGATATAAGTATGTTAAATTGAGAGGTGATGGGTTCAAGATTTTTTATAAACAAATATTTTAAAATTAAAATTAAATTAAAAATATATTTAAATAAAAATAAAAATAATGTAGGTTAAACGGGCCAACCCGTGTAACTCACGGGTTGACCCGTTTGAACCCGTGTAACTGTCGGGTTACACGGGCCGAGCCGAAAAGTGCATGACCCAACCCACATGAAAAGTGGGTTAAACGAGCCCATTGGGTTCGTTTTGACAGCTCTAATCAGGATGGATTATCTCCCCTATGCGATCCCAATTCCATTTCTGCTCCGCATGCCAGGCTTTTGCAACCTTCATCTCGTCATCTCCTTTGTTGAGGAGGCCAATCATCCATCCTCTTAAAGGTTCTTCCCCCCAGCCAAGTGTCCATCCAGAAGGAAGTACTTTTGCCATTTCTCACCACTGATCTCACATCCTTTTCCAGAATAGGCGTTGCTGCACATATTCCTTTCCAAATGTTTGAGTCATTCATGCGCCTTTTCGTGCTGGCAATGGATGCACCACGTTTCATATACTTGTTGACTAGAACTTGAGACCAAACCTTCTCATCATCTTTTAAGACTCTCCATCCTAATTTTGCAAGAAGGGATCTGTTGAGGGTGCACTATAACACCCTACTTTTCTAAAATCTAAATCCCAAATACTTTAACTTAAACAAGATAAATAAGTAAGATTAAATAACTTAAAACCAACCAATCCAACAAATACGGGTGTCACCGCCACAGTCACCACTCACGGTGTTTGCACAGGCTACAAAAAGATAACTAACTAGAGTCAAGCTCATCAAAACAACATTAATAACATGGGGAATAAACCCCGGTGTCCTCGCACCAACAAAAGGATCAGTCATCAATATCTAACATCAAACAACTAAGGTAGAATCTAATTTAGAAACTACCACCTCATAACTACGCACTAACTATCTCGTGCGCTCTCAAACACTGGCCCACCTGAAAGGGGTTATAAAAACAAGTAGGAAAATAAACCCGTTAGCAAATTAATGCTAAGTATAAAGCCACTCAGCCCTGTAAAGTACTAGAGATATAGATTTGGAAAACATTGGCATTCACACAAAATCTCAAGTACTTACAACACTTAAACAACAATCTCATTACATACTCATAAACAACTCTATATGCTTGCAACCTATCATCATATAAATATGCGCTTCTCAATTACTCAACTTAAAACACATTCTCATGATTTGAACAGATATCTCTAAACATAGCTCAAACTGATAGATAAAGAGATTACTTAAACTCAATAAGTAAGATCATGCTATCAAGCCAACTCATAAGCAACAACAAAAGCTATACTTCTCATCATACTCTAAATGCAAATCATGCAAGTCATGCAACAAGAAATGTCATGATGTTATAAGTATATATATGTACGCTCGCTCTTATGTAAAAAGAATAATTTCTGTGGAGGTTTCTGTTGAGTCACATAGACTCACTTTTCTCTTCTTTCTCTTGAGTCTCTTGACTCATTTTTCTCTTCTTTCACTTTCTCGCTTTCTTTCTATACTCGCGGGCGAGGTAGGAACTTCACGAATTGTGAACGAACTTATCCGGGCTCGGCATCTAGCCGGCCGGCCTAATACTCATCTCACCCACATAACCACTCTCTTGGTTCTTATCTCAATCTCTGTGGAATCAGGTATCGTACTTGTCAGTGCGCACACCCCTAACCAGGATTCCAAGCCCGATGGGTAGTATCCAACCTAGCAACTCAGGAATATCGACCAAGTTACTGTGAGCATATATCTATTAATGTGTATCCAACTATCAGCTTAGGTTTTTAGTTGAGATGGAGTACATGCTTCAATTTGGTATCAGAGCCAGACCAAAGGTCATGCGTTCGAATCTCAACGCCACTCGTAAGCGACTATGGTTTACCTCCACGTGTTGGTTGGAATCCACCGTACATGTGAGGGGGCGTGTGAGCATATATCTATTAATGTGTATCCAGCTATCAGCTTAGGCTTTTAGTTGAGATGGAGCACATGCTTCAATTGTTACTTCATAAAATCTGTCAGTCCTCTTTAACCGTTTCTTTCCTTTCTCAAACTTTCTTTCTTTCTCTTTTCTTCCGAAAGGACATAGTCCTAACGTGCCTCCAAAACTCTATTTTCCTCACAATAGATAGTATATAGATATATCTCATGCAACTTCTTTCTCATGCCATAAACTCTAACATATGCAAGCTTTGCAATGCATGCACATAAATCTCAACAACTTCTCTTTCTCACATTTTGGAAATCAAATATCATGCAATATTCTAAATGCAAATAGATAGTGATTTTCCAAAATAGATATAGGTTTTTCAAATAGATCTTAGGCTTTACTTAGAGCCATTTATGCACTTCAAACCTTTACGTATGCTAACATGCTCTTTACTGTGAAATGGGAAAATATACTGTTTTATGCCAAAATCTCACAATTTAGCAAATCTTCTCAATAAATACTATCAAGTATTAAATATGCTTCTCAATCAAATAACAAGTTCAGGTTTAAATCTTTCCAGTCTTCTCCCTTCCTAGAGGATGGGCATTCCAACGGTTTCCACGCAATGCATGTTGTTTTTAACCCAACTGTCGTTCAGACCCAAAACCTGAAGAGTTGAGCGGATGAACCTCCAGTCCAGTCTATCATACACTTTCTTGAGATTCATTTTCAGAACCATATAGCCCTTTCTCTGCTTGACGGTCCGGATAGTGTGAAGAACCTCTTAATAAACCACTAAATTGTCAGTAATTTGTCTCTCGGGAACAAAGCTACTCTGGTTGGGGCAAACTATATCTTGCATAATGGTTTTTAACCTTCTTGTCAGGACTTTAGTGATCAGCTTATAAGCAACATTACAGAGGCTAATCGGTCTCAACTGCGTTACCCTTTCAACATTCTATACTTTGGGAAGAGTTAATTCTAGCAATGGTCCTCTAACTATTGCGGTTTTCCTAAATTGATCCTCGACTTTTAATTTGGACGAAAAAGACACTTGACTTTTTAATTTATTCCAACAATAGTCCTTCTGTTATCTATCCATCTCTTAGCCGTTAGTTTAAGGGGTAAAATAGTCTTTTCATTATTTTACCTTCTTCTTCCTCATTTTCCTCTTAGCCGTGAGTGTATTTGAGGCTGTCTAATTTCTCTCTGTGGTCTGTTCTCTTCGACCTTCCTCCATGTCATCGACAACATGCACATGGCTTATACTCTCCGTCGTCCTCCTCCTGTCTTTGCTCCTCTTCTCCGCTCACTCTCTCCCCTTCGCCTCCTACTTTCAACACTCGTATCCTCGCCACAGCGCATCTTCTATGGCGGCGACAATGACAACTCTGTCGGCTGCACCTTACGCCTCTGAAGTTAACGCTACCAGAGCTACAAATGACAGCATTGAGTGTCATTTTGGTAAAGTGTATATCTATCACCTTCCAAGAGTGTTCAACGCTGATTTAGTGGAAAATTTCCGGGACTTGGACCCATGGCACTCGGCTGCCAGGTACTATCGAACGACGGATTTGGGCTCCCCGCCGCCGGAATTTCGAAGATACTGTTGGAGAATCTCGTGATCTCGTGGGGTCCTGGTTTTGGACGGACCTGTTTACCTTGGAGCTTATCTTCCACAACCGCATGGCAAATTACAAGTGCAGGACCACACAGGAAGAGTATGCTATGGCGTTCTACATATCGTTCTACGCAGGCAGAATCTACTACGGATTCCACCCCACCACGGCAGACGACATCACCCACTGGCAGCAATACTTGCGCACTCGTCAGTGTAACACGTTATTCTACTTCGCCGGAGCGCCACGTCAGTTAATCAAGAATGACTTCCGGGCTTTGCTGCTCACCTAGTGCAACGACTCAGGTGCGTGCCGAGCCGTGGATTGCGGCGGCACCAAGTGCTCAAATGGCACGTTGGAGATTCTAGAATCGTTTCTGGACCCCGACTTCTGTTTGCAGCTCCGGGGGGACAGTTTAACTCGGCGATCGACGTTTGACTGCATGGTGGCGGGTTTAATCCTGATTTTCTTCTGGAAAAGATCCTCTTACTATCAGTGCATGTGGTTTTTCCCCCCGGAAATAGAGAACTACTCGGTTTTTATAAATCGGGATGAGGTGAAAAACGGGACCTTAATAAAATCTGTGCTTGAAAAGATAAGCAAAGAAAAGGTAAAGGAGATGAGAAATAAAGTTATTGATTATATACCCAACATAATATACGCAAAACCCAATGCGGGTATAGAGGGTGTCAGGGATGCTTTTGATATTGCCATTGAAGGAGTATTGAGAAGAGCTAATTAAGGAGTTGGAAGAAGGACACTAGCAATGGCAATGTCTCAGACAGAGCATGGGCGACAAGATCTTAGGACGACTTCTTTAAGAATGGAGGAATTAATGGTACACCAAACTGAAGTTAAGGTTGAGTCTTCTCTGCGTTAGATACACTCATGGCTAAAAGGAAAATGAAGAAGGAGGTAAGATAATTAAAAGACCATTTTGCCCCCTAAACTGACGGTTAAGAGATGGAGGGATAACAAAGGACCATTGCTGGAACAAATTAGAAAGTCAAGTGTCTTTTTCGTCCAAATTAAAAGTCGAGGACTAATTTTGGAAAATTGCAATAGTCGGAGGACCATTGCTAGAATTAACTCCTTTGGGAATAAGTATTATGTTAGTTTCGTTCAGGCCCTCCAAGAGATGGCCAGATTTGAAGAAACCATCCACTAATTTATGTAGGCAATATCCCACCGTATCCCAAGATCTTTGATAGAACATTGCGTGAAAACCATCCGGGCCTAGTGCCTTCATATATAGGTGCTATCGCCCATAGAGCCTCTTTCACCTCCTCCTTAGATATCAGCTTGTTAAGGCCATTTATTTGTCCCTCATTGATGGCTGGGAAAGCGCCCAAAGACGCAACAGTGAGATCCACAACGTTATCCCGGGAGTACAAGTTAACGTAGAATCCCTGGACCAATTCCTCCAGATGCGATTTGTCAAGAACCCAAACCCCATTACTGTCCATAGGACCATGGATTTTATTTCTAGAATGGCAAACCATCGTAGATGCATGGTAGTATTTTGTATTAAGGTCACCCGAGGCAATCCAATAATCCTCTTTGGACTTCTGAAACCAATTTAGCTCATCCTGGTAAAGAGTATCTTCGAGCTCCGAACGTAACTTCTTGTCAAGATTTATGAGACCGTTGTAGGGGTGGCTATCCATGCATCGTTGGACACCTTCGATCCTATCATTGAGGCATTTTTTCCTTCTCTCAATGCTGCCGAAACTGTTTTTATTCCAACGCGTGTATCTTTCCTGCATGACATCAAGATTAAAAGCAAGAGAAAATTTTTTATCCTAGTTATTCACCACAAGGTTAGAGAACTCTGGGTGATTGGTCCATGCAGCTTGAAACTGGAAGGGAAATGTTTTCCTAGGTAGTGCCACCAATCTCTATGATCCAATTCTCGCCAGGTGGGGCCTAAGTCCGTTCAGACTTTGTTCTGGCTTCGGCCTTGCTTTTTAATAAAGTTCTTTTTCCTTGAAAAAAAAAAAAAATTCTCGCCAGGTGAGAAATTTTGGTCTCCAGGTTCTACGACACCCAATCAAGGTTGCACAAAGCGCGGTCAAGCCTCGCACCTGTAAAAGTCGAAGAATCGTTGCCCCTTGTCCATGTGAACTTGGCCACCATAAAACCAAGGTCGACTAATCCTTCTCTGAAAGTCCAATTCCTGAAACCCGATCATCTATGGCTCTGGAAGTTTTCTTTATTGCTCACTTCATCGATGCAAGAAACCACGTTATAGTCCCCCACGGACAGCCATGCGCCATCCATGCAGAACCTTTAATACGAAAGCCCCTCTCATAATTTCAGTCTATGATTGCAAAGGGTTACCATAAACAAACGATATAATGCCCAGGTTTACATTAGCCTTTTTTACCTTCGTAAGAATGAACTGAGGATTAATTGCAATGGTTTCTATGCTCAAGTCGTTCCTCCATAGTAGCCATATCCCACCATTAAAGCCTACTACTTCAACTCGAATCCAATTCTCGAAACCAAACTTCTTGCAAACTTTGTTAGTCGATGCCCCAGATATTCTGGGTTCCATGAGGCCAACTAAGTCGGGATTAAACTTCTTAATTAAAAGGGAAAAGGCGCACTTAAAAGCACTAGAGGTGGCCCCCTGATAGTTCCAACTTATGATATTCATAGGGAACAAACGACAAAAGCAACCCCGACATAAAAACTACTGTGCAGCAATCCCAAGCCCGGACAATTGAGGATCCCCGTCGACCATCATCTCACTTGCAAGATTCTCATCACCGCCAGACTTGTCCAGACCATTGTTTAAGTCCGGCGGGTCATAGCAGTGTTCCCCTTCCATATCTATGGAAGTGTGTTCCTCCACTGTTTCACCTTCTTCGGTAATCGATGTTCTAGTTACCCGGTTACCTTTCTCATAACCTCGAACCACAACATGACTCTCTATTTCTGCTGCATGTCTTGGAGTTCGCTTAATACCTTCTGAGTTCCCCTCGCCACTTCCATTGTTCTTTTCCTTCGTGTTTTGAATCTTCTTTGATTGCCTTGATTTGTCATTAACAATTTGGGCCTATGAGACAATAACTTGGGGTCTCTTCCCTTTGCCAGATAGGATAGCCCCTGTTGGGCCATCCGGTCGCTCAACAACTGTATCTTCCTCGTGGGCTTCATTATCGGTATCCCCCTCTGGTACATCTAGCGCCCCAAATCTTGAATTGTTCCATATCTTGAAGCCTTCCTTTCAAACATATGATTATTTCCATTCTTGTTTTCCCCTTATTTTCCTTTCCCTTTTTCCACATTACCGTTATTTGCTTTTTTGTTTCCTTTCTTTGCATGGCCTATGTTTTGGTAATTCCTGTTGTTACGCTTGGCAATTATCCAGCTACCATAATAGCCATCAAACGGTCGATTTTTCACCGGGTTCTTCGCCGCATTTCCTCCCACTTTTCATGTTGGGTCTCGTCTCTCCTCCGTCGCGCTGCCACCCTCGTTTGTCGGCGTCTGTTCCCCGGTTGTCGGCGGCCCCTCCTCCGTCTGTTCATTTGCAGCCCTATTTCCAGTGCCCCACCATTCCACACTTAAAGCACACTAGGTGGAGGCCCTCATACTCGATAGTTCTTTTTTTGTTCTTGAGATTGAAGCTAGCAATAAGAGGTTTCGTGATATCCACTTCCACGCAAACTCTAGCGAATAGGCCACGGGAAGCCATGTTGGTTGCATGATCCACTTTCACAGCTGTCTCTATCATATCTCCAACCCTCATCAGAAAAGCATAATCATAATATTCGATTAGGAGACACGAAACCTGATCCAAACAAAGAGTCTCTGTGTCTCATCTCTCATGGGTTCTAAGTCTGGCTCCCAATCTTTAACCGCGAGACAGTGATCGAGCACCGTCCATGGGCCTTCTAAGCGTGCATGCTCATAGTGAGCAACCGAAGCAAAGTGAACTAGGTGGTATCCATTCTGTATGGCGATAAGGTCCATTTCTGACTTAGGATTCCATATAGTTCTCAGACATCTTAGCAAATAATTGTATCCCACAGTCTTACCCAGCACCTTGATTATCAGAGTGTTCTCCCATCGGCGCCTCATTCTCCTATTTTCTTCTCTTGTCAGTTTAACCACACGATAGTAAGGATCGTCCTCCTCCTGCTCTCCTACCTCATCATCGGAGACATCATCAGTTCCTGCCCATATATCATTCAAGCCAGTAAGCGTTTCTAGAAAGGATCTTGTGACAACCCAAAATTTAATTTTCTAAATTCGATTTTAAGAAATCCTAAAATAGTCATTTTCACTATATATATATATATATATATATATATATATATATATATATATATATATATATATATATATATATATATATATATATATATATATATATATATAATCGGTGTTTGAATAAATTATTTTGAGCCACTTTTAAATAAATTCAACACCGGGATTTATTTTAAATCTAAAATTCTAAATTTTTGAGTACATTGCGTACCAAGTTTTTGATCCAAAAATCAATCTGAGTGAAACCGGGAGAAATATGAGTAACTTAAACTAAGTGGTTGTCTAGAAAGTATTTTTGGAAAAATGCATTTTGACCCCAAAAATATTTTAAATCATGATTCTAACCCTTGGTCCATGAAGCTTGGTGAACCACTAGACTCCACATCTCTTTACCTGATTTTTTGCAAGCTAAGCTAAATTACCATTTTGCCACCCTCCAATCATTGGCAAGCTTCCTAGGGTTTTGGACCCTATATAAACATCACCTTTGCATTGCCATCTCTTGATTTCTTCATTGCATCTTCCACTCCATATCTGTTAACAAAGAAAGGAAAATCACAGTAAGATTTTATCTCATCCCTTCATCTCTTCTTCCTTAAGGTTGTCATCCTAGCTTTCCATCTCTAAGACCTTTTCTTAGGCAATGTATGTGTTGTTTATCTTGGTTGTTGAGGTGTTTAAGAGGTGAAGGAAGTAGTATTTGAGTAGAGTGGAGGCTGAGATCCACACAAGAAGGATGAACAAAGAGAAGAAGAAGCAACAAAGGTATAACCCATGGACTCCCACCTCTTTTGATAGACTCTGTGAAGTCAAAGTTGATATAGAAATGAATATAAATGCTAGATATTGATGTGTTTGACTTTGAGCTATTAAGTGATCTATTATTAATCTATGATGTATTGTTGAGGATTTGGGAGTGTTTGAATGCTTGAAATAACATTTACAGGTGAAAGAGAGCTTCTGGTGCATAGATAGTGTGCACCAGACAAGTTCACGGGACTAGCCAACGGCCCTAGGCAGGAGCCGTTGGCCAGCTCCGTGGAGTGGCGGCCTCAGGGCACGGCCCTAGGCAAGGGCCGTGACCCTGAACCGTTGCTTGGCGGAGCCAAGCGATGGGCCTCCTCAAGCCCTGGCGCAAGCTCCGCCAGGCCAAACCTGTGTAGTGGTCGGGCCCTTGTGGCTCAGCTGCGTGTCGTTTCGGACCGGGACTCGCGGGCCCTTGAGGCTCAGACACTCGGGATCGTACGACGCACTAGTAGAATTTGATTTCGTTGATATTGGAGTAGAAATGAGTAAATTACAATAGAATTTGCGAAGTTGTTTGCTAAAGATTAAGCTGAGTATGTTTACAGTGATTTAAAATATGAAGATTCAGACTTAGCTAATTGTTTGAGGAGCATGACCATTGTTTAATTGTTAAACTAAGAAGCATGATCATTGTTTGATAAGTTTGGCTAGATAAGCATGCCTAAATGTCTAGTGTGACTTGATGAGAATTTTGCCAAGAATCTTAGTTGTTTGGAAGTGTACAAAGCATGTTCCCCTTGAATGCTAGATTACACTAAATGAGATTATGTTGAGTATTTTGAGATCAAGTGCATGTTGAATACTTGCTAAATGTTTGCCAAAGAAGATTTGCCAACTTATGATTTATAAGCATGTTTATGCAATTGTTGAGAGTTCACACTGAAAGAATTTTTGAAGCATATTTTATAGTAAAGTATATATTTGAGCATACCATGTTTCTAAAAGTGTATAAGTGGCCAATGTGATCCTAAGTACTATTTTCAAAGACTTATATCTATTTTTGAAAATCATTATCTAGTTGCATTGAGTAGTTGCATGATAAACGATTTCCAATTTGTGAGAGATGAGAAGTTGTTGAGAAGCTATGTGCATGAGTTGCATAAGTAAAGAAGTTGCATGAGATATATCTATATACTATCTATTGTGAGGCAAACAATATTTTGGGGGACCGTTAAGACTATGTCCTTTCGGAAGAAAAGAGATACGATTGGATAGAACCGACAAACCAGTGAAAAGAGAAAGTAAAGAAAGAAACGGACATTGCGGGCCGACATATTTATCATGTAACGAGGTCGATATTCCCGAGTTACTAGGTTGGAAACTGCCCGCCAGGCTTGGAATCCTGGTCAGGGGGTGTGCACACTAGTTGTTCGATACCTGATTCCACAGAGTTTGAGAAAAAAACTAAGAGAGTGGTTCTGTGGGTGAGATGAGTATTAGGCCGGCTAGATGCCGAGCCCAGATAGGTCCATTCACATTATGGTGAAAGTCCTACCTCGCCCACGAGTATATGAAAGAGAGTCATTGCACTCTAAAGAAAGCGAGTCATTGCGACTCTAAAGAAAGCGAGTCATTGCAACTCTAAAGAAAGTGAGTCATTGAGACTCTAGAAAAAAAAGAGCAAAGCGAGTCATTGAGGCTCTAAGAAACCCCCACAGTAAAGTGTTCTTGTTACAAAAGAGTGTATATGTGAATCTATCTATACTTATACTAAAGCATCATGTTCATTTTATTGCATGATCAAGTTAAGTGCACGAGATTGCATGTTGAGTATATGATAGCATGAGATTTCTTAGAGATTACATGATTGCACGAGATTGCATATTGAGTATATGATAGCACGAGATTGCATGTTGAGTATATGATAGCATGAGATTGCTTAGAGATTACATTATTGCACGAGATTGCATGTTGAGTATATGATAGCATGAGATTGCTTAGAGATTACATTATTGCACGAGATTGCATGTTGAGTATATGATAGCATGAGATTGCTTAGAGATTACATTATTGCACGAGATTGCATGTTGAGTATATGATAGCATGAGATTGCTTAGAGATTACATGACTGCACGAGATTGCATGTTGAAGATATGATAACATGAGATTGCTTAGAGATTGTGTGATAGCATGAGAGTGCTTATTGGGTTGTATGATAGCATGAGATTGCTTGTTGAGATATATGATAGCATGAGATTGCTTATTGAGATATATGATAGCATGAGATTGCTTATTGAGATATATGATAGCACGAAATTGCTTATTTAGTTATATGATAGCATGAGATTGCTTATTGAGTTATATGATATAATGTGATTGCTTATTGAGTTATATGATAACATGAGATTGCTTATTGAGTTATGTGATAGCATGAAATTGCTTATTGAGATATATGATGATATGAGATTGTTTGTTGTGATATATGTTAGCATGAGATTGCTTGTTAAAGCTTAAGTATATTATTACTCACCAGTTGAGCATGATTAGTGTATACCGCCATGATAAGTTAAGTATGTGCAAGCTTGAGATTGTTGATAAGTTGAATAATTGAGAAAGAATGCTTATTTGATAATTAGGTTGCAAGCATATAGAAACCCTGATGAGCATGATTAATTGTTGCTTAAGTGATTGAGAATACTCAATCTAAGCATGTGAAACAAATGTTTTTCAAAAGTATATACTGTTGTATTTTACAGGGTTGAGTGGCGTTATACTTAGCTTCGTGCTAACGAGTTTGTTTTCTACTTGTTGTTTGTTAACCCCTTTCAGGTGGGCCCAGTTCGTGAGAGAGTACGAGTTAGACTAGACTAACATAGTTAGCTTTTGTAGTCTAAACTCTTTTGATGGTTGTTTGAGATTTGTAGTTGACTTACCCTTTGTTTTGATGGTGCTGGACACTGGGGTCTTATCCCCTAGTTTGATTTATGTTAGTAAGACTTTAATGATTTAGTTGTTTTACCTTTGCCTGTGCAATCACCGTGAAGGATGATTGTGGCGGTGACACCTCTATTAAGCTTGTTTAGTAAGTTTATTCCGCTGCCTTAGTTTATCTTTCAAGGTTAAGTCTGTTAATTAAGTTTAAGAAAAGTGGGGTGTTACAGATCTCACCGGGCTTGTCGGAGCTTGGGTTTCTGGAGGCAAATTATTTGGTCCACACAGTGTTATGTGTAGGACTGTGCAATACCCGAACCACCCGAATTACCCGCCCGATCCGAACTAGTGTTCACCGAACGGTGATGAAATCCGAGAAGTTCGGATAATATCCGAACCGGCCCTAAGCGTGTGTTGCTATAAAAGACGGACGGGTAGGGTTAGGAAATACCCCATCCGAACCCGTCCGAGATCCGAAGTATGGCCTAAGTATAAAACCTTGCGTAGACCTAGGGTTTGCCATTTCCATTCTCTGTCCTCTCACTCCTCTGAGACTCTCCACTCCTCAAAGCTTCTTCTCGAATTCTCCTCAGTCTCATCTAGCCATCCCCATCCGATCTTCAGTCCTTCACTCCTTCAGTCCTTCTCATCTAATCTTCTTCCATAATCGCCTTCTCCGGTGAATCTCTGATTCTCTGAACTATGAGTCTGAGAGTCTCTGAAGTCTGAGAGTCTGAACTCCCCTTCGACTCCTTCGAGGCTTCGACAGTTCGATGGGAATCTTGTGGAAGTGTCTGTGGCTCTGTGCAAACTGGAAAGACGGCAAGAAGGAAGAAGCCGGACGGCAGTGGAAGTTTGACGCTTTGAAGCCCTAGATCTCAGAGGGAACCTTTGAGAAAATAAGTAAAATGTAACTTTGTCATTTTTTTCTTATTTTCCCGTTGCATGTTTGTGAGTTTGTCTGTTCTGTTCTAGTTTTATGATGTTGCATGCACCCTAATTTGTAACTGAACCCTAATTTTTAGGGCTTTCCACATACGTGATGAATTTGTGCTTATTCTGATATGTGTTTGTAAGTTTATGGTTAAAGGACCCTTAAATTTGTTGCATGAACCTTAAATTTGTTATTTCAAAAATGTATGGTGGTGGTGGAAGTGTGGAACTGTGGAAGCTTACTGAAATTGTAATTGATATTATGAATTTATGACTGTTGGAATTTGGAAATTGGAATGAATGTTGTTGAATGTATTTGAATACTTGAATTGTTGATGGGTTGATGGTTGACTGTGGAAGTGTTAAGCCCTAATTTGTGGGCATTTCCATAAAATGATGTGTTCATGATTCATGATTCATGACTCCTGATTATGGAATGCATTTGTTAATGTGTTATATGTAATTATGTATGTCAGTACTCAGTATTGAGTGTTTACTGTTAAGCCCTAATTTGTGGGAATTGTGGCCATTTCCATAAAATGATGAGTTCATGAATCATGAATCCTGATTATGGAATACATATCAGTGTGACAGTGTATGGCCTTATGTCAGTTATGTGTGCTTGTGTGAAATGTGAATCCAATTTGCTCATCCATAAATCTTTTTAGATAGAGAGCAATCAAAATATAAGTGGAAGTGGAACTGGACCTCTTCCATCTTCAACAGTGGATGAACAAGGAGTACAAACCCCAGGCATTGAGACAAGTGCTCAACAGCCTATGGCCACTCCTAAAGTTCCTGCTGTTAAGAAGAAGAAGGAATTAGAGTCTAGATACATAGTGTGGGAGCACTTTGAACAGATCAAAGATCCTGAAACTAAAAAAGTGCTTAAAGGCAAATGCCTTTACTGTGCAAAAGAGTATTTTTGTGAAACTAAAAAACATGGCACATCATCATTAAGAAATCATATGGCCAGTTGTCTTAAAAATCCACGTTCAAAGGATACAAGGCAGTCTCTACTCACATTCAACACTCTGTCCACTTCTGAGGGTGGAACAGAGGCTCCTGGGGGTGTTTTGGGGACATGGGTATTTAATCAAGATGCCATTAGGAGGGCCCTTTATGAGATGATAATCATAGATGAGCTCCCTTTTAGGTTTATAGAGGGCCAGGGGTTCAAGAGGTTTATTCTGGTTGCTTGTCCTAGGTTTCTTATCCCTTCTAGGTGGACCATTTCTAGGGACATCTACCAAATTTTTCTTGATGAGAGGCTAAACCTTAAGAAGTTGTTTAGAGTGGGAACTCAAAGGGTTAATCTAACAACTGATACATGGACTTCTGTCCAGAGAATCAATTATATGTGCATTACTGCACATTTTTTAGATGACCAGTGGAAGCTTCATAAAAAAATTATATCCTTTGTCCCAGTTTCTTCTCATAAGGGGGAGTGCATTGCAAAAGCCCTAGAGAGTTGTTTATTAGAGTGGGGAATTAAGAATGTGTTTACTGTAACAGTGGATAATGCTTCCTCTAATGACACAGTTATGGGGTTTTTTAAGAGTAAACTGTTGTCTTGGGGTTCTTCTTCTGTTAAGGTTCAGTACATGCACATGAGGTGCATAGCCCATATCCTCAATTTAGTGGTCCAAGATGGGTTGAAGTTTGCAGATGAGTCAGTCAAGAGGGTGAGGGATGCAGTGAGATGGGTTAGGAACTCACCAGCTAGGCTGACAAAGTTCAGGGAGTTTGCTGAACTGTTTGGTGTGGAAGCTAAATCAGCTTTGCATCTTGATGTCCCTACAAGGTGGAACAGCACCTACATTATGCTCAACACTGCAGTTCAATATCAAGTAGTGTTTGATGCATATGAGAGAAATGACCCATCTTATTCTGCTGACTTGGGGAGTGCTCCTACCTTCTTGGATTGGTGTTCTGTGGAAAGCTTAGTGAAGCTGTTGAAAGCATTTTATGATATGACAGTGAGGATCTCTGGTTCACTTTATGTCACATCCAACACATTCTTCTCTGAGATCTCTGATCTCAGTTGAATGCTTGAAGCTATGTTGAACTCTGAGCATGAGACTGAAAAGGTATTCTCATTTATCTTTAAATTTGTTTGCTTTATTATTTTTTGTAATTGCTGTAATTCTGTAAACTAATAACTTTTTTTTTTCTGTTTTAGCCAATGAGGACACAAATAAGGAACAAGTTTGACAAATATTGGGGGGATCCAGAAAAAATGAACTCTATCATTTTTTTTTGTCAATATTCTAGACCCCAGAGATAAGGAGGAGTACATGCCTCATCAGTTTGCCCAGTTGTATGGAGAATAGAAAGGCAAAGCTTGTTTTACCAAGGTCCAATCTGCAATGGCTGCTTTATATGATGACTATGCAGCTACATACTCTCTCAGTTCTACCCAGACTGCATCCTCTACTCAAGCAGTTCAGTCAGAGGCTAACCAGGCTACTACTTGTACAATTGGTAGGCCTTAGTCATCTTTGAAGAGCCAACTTAAAAAAAAAAAAAAAAAAGAGACTGGAAAGTAGTGGAAACAGTAAGCAAACTGAGCTGCAAGTATACTTAAGTGAAAGTCTTGTGGAGGATGATGAATCTATTGATTTTGATGTGTTAAAGTGGTGGAAGAGTCATAGTGAGAGATTTCCTATTCTCTTCAAAATGGCTAGAGATGTGCTTGCAGTTCCTATCTCCACAGTTGCTTCTGAGAGCTATTTTAGTACATCTGGAAGAGTACTTGATCCATTTAGGAGTTCCTTGACTCCTAAAATAGTGGAAGCACTAATATGTACTCAAGATTGGTTGAGGGCACCTAATCAGCCAATCCAAGTTGAGGAGAACCTGGAGGAGGTTGAAAGATTAGAGAAAGGTAAAACTTATCACTTTTTTAGTTACTTTTTTTTATTCTTTATTAAGTTTATTTTCTTTTCACTTTCTTTCTTACTTATTCTGTTTTTCACTTTTGTAGAATTGCCCACTGGAGCTTCATCTACTATACCATCAATGTTGCCTACAATCACTGTAATGTTTTTAATATCTGTTTACAATGTGTTCATTTCTTTAATCAGTTTGATATTCTGTTATGTACTTATGTTGTTGCAAGTGGTGTTTAGCCTCTAAGTGGCTTGGCAACTTTTTGTTATTGATTTGTTGCTGCCATTAGATGAGTTGAGCCCAATTTTGCCCATTTCTCTGCAGTCTGGAATTCTGGTATAACTCTTCCTTGCTCTGTTTTCAGTTTGAATATATTTGTTTTATTTGGTGGCTATGATGAAGCTTCCACTTTTGTCTGAATAAATGGAATGGAGTTGGTATGTTGCCAATGTGCTAATATAACACATTCAGAGCAATGTGCCCACATTCTTACTTGATTTGGAAAATTGCACTCTGAGCCACTTAGCCTAGTGAATAATTGATTAGTATTGTTAGTCTAAATGTCTAATTGTCTGTTTTCTAAACTCTAAACACTAATATCGTTTTAAGTTTGAATACTAGCAGGAAGAAGAATAGATTATCTAGTTTAGTGTTGATTTTGCCGACTATTCATAGTCTGATTTTGCTGAATTGCTGAAGAAGAACTGAAGAGTGAATGGCCAAGGAGACAAAGAGTACAGGTGCTAACAGGTGACTGAATGACTCAAGTCTATGACTTACTGCTTAAGTGCTTAACAAATTAAGTGCTTAATGTATTTTGTTCAAGTTAAACACTTAAGTCTTAAGCATGATTTTTTGTATAATCATTGAAAATCTGTAATTATTAACTTAGTTTGAAACTTTTATAGTTGTATGCTTGTATGCTTTGCTGGTAATGAAACTCAGTATGCCTTTAATTTATTGCTATTATGACTTATTTATCTATTTTAGAATTTTATTTATATTCATTTATTATATCCGATTATCATCCGAAATCCGACCGATCCGATCCTACCCGAACTTACAAATAACCGAATGGATAAGTCAACAAAATAAAACGGATAGGGTAGTCAAAATTGATATCCGACATCCGATCGGAGGACACCTTCCGCCATCCGATCCGTCCGACTGCACACCCCTAGTTATGTGGACCACAACAAAAAGTACATTTTTAATATACTAAATGTACATTATTTTTGTATTGAGTGTACATTATATTGTATAATGTACACTCAGTACAAAAATAATGTACATCCCCTAAATACAATGTACATTATTTTTGTGCTGAATGTACATATTTTTGTACTGAATGTACTTTAATTTATAGTATACAAAATATGGTGCACACAATAATGATTGGTTTCTGGAGGGTGGTTGCCACCGGATCTCACCGGGCCTGTTGGATCTTGAGTTTCTAGAGGGTGGTTGCCACCAGATGGACAATCATTATTGTGTGGACCATGGTCCATACAAGTTGTGTGGACCATATTTTGTCTACTGTAAAATAATGTACATTCAGTATAAAAATAATGTACATTGTATTCAGGGGATGTACATTATTTTTGTTCTGAGTGTACATTATATTGTATAATGTACATTCAGTACAAAAATAATGTACATTTAATATATTAAAAATGTACTTTTTATTATGGTCCACATAACATTGTGTAGACCATGGTCCACACAATAATTTGCCCCAGATGGGGCATTAGTGCCCGTCGGTTCGTCAGATCAACTATCGGCATCCATCGGACCATCGTCTCTTTCGGATGGACCTCTCTTCGTTTTCTTCTTGCTGCGTTGGAGAAGGTCGGCCTCCTCCGTAGTTGCGCCGGCACCCGGCTGATTTTTCAGAGAACTCGAGAGTATATTTTCTTTCACAAATTTTTAAATTAGTACTTTTTATGTTACTGTCATTTTCCTTTAAATATAATGTATTTTATGAATTAAAATAATATATAATATACTTTATATGTTAGAATAATAAAATTTCTAAAGTACTTTGATGCTGAATTGAACCGGATGTTCCGGCTCAGGATGGGTCTTGCCAGAAGGCCCTCGACTCTCAGACATACCCGATCCTTTTTGTCCCTCTCTGAACGGTTCGGTTCTGGAAGGCAAAGAATCTTCTGGAAGCAGTCCTCAGTCTCTTTAAGCCCTAGCTAGTAGCAAACGCTCTTCAAAACCTCCGTCTCATAAAACCTTATCTAATCATCTCTCACTCTCGCACCAAGCAGGCAAGCTAACTCCTCGTCAGAAATGGCTTCCGCAAACGCCATCTCAACTGCCTCAATCCTCTCCTCACCTTCCAATCGAGTACGCCTATCTTTCATTTCTCCCTTTTCGTGATTATTGAGCAGGTTACACTGTGCTTATCTGTTCGCTTGTTGATGCAGGGGGGTTTGAGGAGTGGTAGGAGGACTAGCCAGCTGCAGGGGAGGAGTTTCAACCCCAAGACGTCGAACTCGAAGAATCGGTTTGTGGTGAGGGCTAATGCCAAGGAAATTGCTTTTGACCAGAAATCCAGGACCGCTCTTCAGGCCGGCATCGATAAGCTCGCTGATGCCGTCGGACTCACTCTTGGACCCAGGGGTAATTGCTCATTTCCTTGTCTCTTGGTGTAATGAATTTATACTCTTGTTACCTTGTGTTATACAGGATTGTTTGTTTCATGTGGTACTAATTATTGAGGTAGTGTGAAGAATCGTGTTTCTTAGGCTTCACAGTGTTTGAGTTACATTTGTGTAGCTATCTGTTGGGGTTGTATTGGTGTGACCATATTGCAATGACCAATGACTAAATTCAAGTGGACCTGTAATTGTGGGATTTGCAAAAAGCTATTTGTCCTATTGGAAGGAATGTATTTCTTTTGAGTGACATGAAAATTGGGGATTTGTCGGGGGATGAAATGGATTGATAAAGCAGTAGCCAGCTTGGGGTGGGGGTGGTTGAGGACATCTGCTTATATCATGTCTACTGCAGTTTACATACAAAATGCACTTGACTTGCTCCGAACTGCAACTGTTGGATTGAAATAGAGATGAAAGAAAGTTTTTAGTTTATCTTAGTGGAACTATGTTGTTTCAGGTTCAAATGTTTTACTGCAGAGAATTTTGTTACCATAAGTTGTGCATTATGAGCAGAATAACATAGTTTGTCACTCAGCAGGTGTAAAGGTATTCATGAAGATAATTTAACTTGTAACACTTTTATTTTACTTCTACAGGGAGGAATGTTGTGTTGGACGAATTTGGAACTCCAAAAGTTGTTAATGATGGAGTGACAATTGCTAGAGCTATAGAGCTTGCTGATCCTATGGAAAATGCTGGTGCAGCCCTTATTAGGGAGGTTGGTGCTTTTCCTTCCCTAGATCTGACTTGATTTTCATAGTCAGCTATGTCTTAATGTGTCTAATTGTGGATTATTATGAAGGTTGCAAGCAAAACCAATGATTCAGCTGGTGATGGAACAACAACTGCATCAGTTCTTGCACGTGAAATGATCAAACTTGGTCTCTTGAGTGTTACATCTGGTGCAAACCCAGTGTCCATAAAGAGGGGCATTGACAAAACTATACAGGGTTTGGTGGACGAGCTTGAAAATAAAGCTAGACCGGTTAAAGGTCGAGATGATATCAAAGGTAATAGGGTTGTTATGCTTTAACTCTGATGAGAATTGTAACTTTCTTATTGGATTACAAAAAGTTCTTAATTAACCAAATTTCTTTGCGTTTCTTTGTCCAGCAATTGCTTCAATTTCAGCTGGAAATGATGAAGCCATTGGTACCATGATTGCTGATGCAATTGACAAAGTTGGTCCTGATGGTGTGTTATCTATTGAGTCATCATCTTCCTTTGAAACTACAGTCCATGTAGAAGAGGGAATGGAGGTTTGTAAACCAATAATAAGAATGCATCTTGTCTATGGCATTCTCTACTTGTGTTTTCCCTATTATTGATCCCAATGTTGAATTCATGCAGATTGATAGAGGATATATTTCCCCTCAATTTGTCACCAATCCTGAGAAATTGATTGTTGAGTTTGAAAATGCCAGAGTTTTAATTACAGATCAAAAGATTTCTGCAATCAAAGACATTATTCCCTTGTTAGAAAAAACCACTCAATTGCGAGCTCCACTTCTCATTATTGCTGAAGATGTTACTGGGGAAGCCTTGGCTACTCTTGTTGTCAACAAGCTGAGAGGCATTCTGAATGTTGCTGCTATTAAAGCACCTGGTTTTGGTGAAAGGAGAAAGGCACTTCTTCAAGATATTGCCATTGTAACAGGTGCTTGAACTTTTTTGAAGACATTTTTTACTGTCCTCTCAAAGTCACTGTTACTAGTTGGAACAAAATACGTAATTCAGTCCAGTTTGATTATCTTATTGAGTTTGAGAAGTATTGTTTTTGCATGATGCCTGCATGCATTTTTCAGGCATTTCCCATGTTTCTTAACTAGTTTTCTGCTGCCTGCATGCATTTTTCAGGAGCTGAGTATCAGGCTACTGATTTGGGACTGCTTGTGGAGAATACACAGGTTGAGGCACTAGGTATTGCCCGAAAAGTGACCATTACAAAGGACTCAACAACCATCATTGCTGATGCTGCTTCAAAGGATGAGATACAATCAAGGATTGCTCAGCTTAAAAAGGAATTAAATGAAACAGATTCAATATATGATTCTGAGAAGCTTGCTGAGAGAATTGCCAAATTGTCCGGGGGTGTTGCTGTAATTAAAGTCGGAGCAGCAACAGAAACTGAGCTTGAGGACCGCAAGCTCCGCATTGAGGATGCAAAGAATGCAACTTTTGCTGCTATTGAGGAGGGCATTGTTCCTGGTGGTGGTGCTGCATTAGTTCATCTATCAACTCATGTTCCTGCAATTAAGGATAAGCTTGAAGATGCAGATGAGAAATTAGGTGCTGACATTGTGCAAAAGGTAAAGATTGCTTGATTTTCATATTCTTTGTGCATTTATCTTTCTCCCGTAAAAAGAAAGTCCTAATCTTTAATTTGTATGTATGCTTTGCAGGCATTATTAGCACCTGCATCTTTGATAGCCCAAAATGCTGGGGTTGAGGGTGAGGTAGTTGTGGAGAAGCTGAAGGACAGTGAATGGGAGACTGGCTACAATGCAATGACCGATACCTACGAGAATCTCGTTGAAGCTGGAGTTATTGATCCAGCCAAGGTGACAAGATGCGGTCTGCAGAACTCTGCATCAGTAGCAGGAATGGTGCTCACCACCCAAGCCATTGTTGTGGAGAAGCCAAAACCTAAGGCACCTGCGCCCGCAGCTCCACAAGGCCTCACTGTGTGAGATCAATGATCTCAGGAATTTTTGGGCAGTTGGGTCTCTGATTATTAAACTGTGCTCTTTTTGCTATGTGTTGACTTGTTGATTTGAGAATTTTTAGCCACATCACAAATGTTAGCTTTAGTAGAGAAGATGATGGTGTATGTCAGTCAGAGTTAAACACTTAAACATCCTCCGGTTCTTCATAGTTTTGAGTTGTTGACTGTAGAATTAGTAATAAAGTCAATTTATTTCGTTTGTCAAAATTCAGTCCCATAATTCTAATTTCTGCTTTGCTCAACAAAACTGGTTACTGGAGTTCAAGAAAAGCATGCATTTCGACCATTAAACAGGGAAGAACTTTGTGTTCTGCAGGCAGCAATGAGTACACGAAAATCATGCATTTTGACCATTAAACAGGGAATAACTTGTTCTTTAGCTTGACCACCGAGCTGGTTCTTTGTTCAGACTCCGCAGGATGGCTGTGGCCTCGCCATCGATAACAAGCGTGCCATCATGTTTGAAGCATTTGGTGGAAAATTTGGCCCTGACAATCAAAACGAATTGAAGAGCCTAGAGAAGAAGGAACAGGGAAATTTTGCCCTGATAATCTAGACTAGATGAAAATAAGAAATCAGGGATTCAGCCAAGGCAACCTACACATGTTTCGCTTTCAGTTCCTTGATATTTGTTGCACATATTTCACCAACTATCTCTTCTCCAATATACACTGGCGACTTGAAGTGCAATGTTTGCGAAACATATACAGCTCCCGGCTACAAGTTTTTTCCAAACACCAAAAGAGAAAGGAGGTTTAAACTTTAAACAAATGACTTGATAAAAAGTATCAAAAATTGATGAGAGTTGGTACTTACAAAATTTGAAGCTATGGTTCTTGGGAATAAGGAAGCGACCAACATTCCAGGAACAAGCCTGTCACTGAATCCAGCAATCTTAGCACATTCTGAGTCAAAATGCAAGGGGTTGGTATCATGGCTCAGCTTCGAGTATTCAACAACATCTGCTCCAGTAAACACCCGAGCTTGCTTCAAAACATCCCCGCATTTAAGCAAATTGGTAGCTGCCACCGAAGAGAAGCCGTAGGAAGTGGAAACGTAGCTCCAAAGCGCACGTTTCACCAGCATTGTTCAATTAACTCATCAACTTGTTTAAATTAGGCAAAGCAGCAGACATCCATTCGCACCTATACAACTGAAAATCACACAAACAATTCATCAAACACCTTACCGACATTGCAGAAACTAGAAAGTAGCATCCACTCACTACCCTGAAAACTAGATGGCCAAATATCTTCAAGTGCGCTCGTGCATCAACCAAAGGTGTCGATTCTAGTATATATATGTAGAGATACACGCATCGCATACAGATCAGATGAAGGACGAGGAAACACGTACCTGTGGAGCGAGATGAGACTTGAGAGCCCGCTATGGCGCTATGCTAAATTAAATTTAAAAATGCATTAGTTTTTAAAGAAAAAAAGGAAATAAAAAGTGAGGGGCAAATTATGCTGTGGAACTGTGTCCACCTTACAAGGTGAACACAGTTCTAAAATTGTTTATAATTATGAATATATAGCTTTATAATTATGAACATAGAGTTGTGAACATAATTATGAACATATAATTTTGGAATTACGAATATAGAGATTCAATAATTGTAAATATGAAATTCAAAAATTATGAATATATAGCTTTATAATTATGAACATATAGTTCAGTAATTATGAATATAGAGTTCTGTAATTATGAATATAGAGTTCAATAATTATGAACATAGAGTTTTGTAATTGTGAATATAGAGTTCAATAATTATGAATATATAACTTTATAATTATGAACATATAATTTAATTTTATGAACATAGAACCGTGTCTATCTTGCAAGGTGAACACAGTTGACGGTTCCACACCATAACGATTGAAAATGATGAATGCGGGCTAAATATTAGGTGGATCCGTCGATAGTGGGCTACTGGGCTTAATCAGATAAATAGAAATTTTTTAAAATGACTATATAAGTTAGAGGTGTGTGTTTTGGTCAGCAATTATACTGTGTATTGCAGTCCACAAATATAATTCAATTTTATGAACATAGAATCGTATCTACCTTATAAGATAGACACGGTTGATGGTTCCACACTATAACGATTGAAAATGAGGAATGCGGGCTAAATATTAGGTGGATCCGTGGATAGTGGGCTAGTGGGCTTAATCAGATAAATAGAAAAATAATTTTTCAAATGACTATATAAGTTAGAGGTGTGCGTTTTAGTCAACAATTATACTGTGGACCACGGTCCACAAAGCTTTGTGGATCATGGTCCAAAAACGACATCGCGTGCACCGGCACCTGCTGGCATGAATGTCGTCCGGAAATTGACTGGCCTCGCAGGCTAAGTTATGCCAAACTTCGGTATCATTTTCCAACTAGTATAGTCACTTGGTTCGGTCGAAACCGAACCGAGAGCACCTACTCTCGTGCATCTGTGACCACGAGAGTAGTGCACTCTCGGGTTGCACCACAGCGCGCACGAGAGATGTACTCTCGTGCACCCCAACGGTCTGAAACCCGAAAGTTCAGCCTGTTGTACAAATTAAACTCATCTGTTACGGAATTAATACTGTTTTAATTCCAATTTTAAATTCTGAGTTTAATCCTACTTAGTGGGTGACCGTTACAGGTGTTACACAATTGGTTTAATACTAATTTCCTAAAAGAAATGGAGAATCCAGTTTTGCCAGCTCTAGGGGAAGAGAATGTTGTTGAGAACAACAATGGTGGGAATGACAATAATGTTGCTAATTCCCAAGCTACACCAGTGAACATTGGTTCACAAGATGGTGGGAGCACCGAGGGATATATTCCCATGACTCGGGTACCTACGGTACCGAGTGGTTCGGCCGAAAGACCGGAGAAATTCACCGGTATTGGATCGAATTTCAAAAGGTAGCAACAAAAGATGTTGTTCTACCTAGCAACTCTCGGCTTGACGAGATTCTTGACCGAGAAGGTTCCCAAATTAAGGGAACAGGATGCCCAATCCGTGATGGCAGTTGGCTATTGGAAAGATTCGGACTTCCTATGCCGAAACTACATCCTGAACGGATTATGTGATGCGTTATACGATGTATATCGCAAGATTGGCACAGTGAAAGCGCTGTGGGAAGCCTTGGATCATAAATACCGAAGTGAGGATGCCGGCGTAAAGAAATTTGTGGTTGGCCGATTCCTTGACTTCAAAATGGTTGATTCCAAAACCGTGCTAAGTCAGGTTGAAGATTTAAAACTAATCTTTGATGAAATCCGTGACGAAGGCATGACGTTGAGTGAAGCCTTCCTAGTAGGACCTGTTATCCACTTGCTGCCTCCAGGGTGGAAGGACTTCAAGAATTACCTTAAGCATAAGCGAATGGAAATGAACCTGGAGGACCTGATCCAGCGACTCCGAATTGAGGAGGGGAACAGGACGAATGATGGCAGAAATTCTGTCACTGTTGGCGCTAAAGCCAATGTTGTGGAGCATGCTAAAGGCTCCAAGAAGAACAAGAAGGACAAGCAAAAGCTAGGTCCGAAAGGAGGCATTACCAAGAAGAAATTTCATGGAAAATGCTTCAATTGTGGCAAGACTGGCCACAAGTCCTCTGAGTGCAAAGTTCCAAAGAAGAAGAACAAGAGTTCTGAAGCCAACATGGTTGAGGAAAGCAATCAGAAGGAGGTCGAGATTAGCCTTTCGGCTATGGTGACCGAGGTGAACCTCGTGGACTCTAACCCACGAGAGTGGTTCATCGATACTGGTGCAACAAGGCATTTGTGTTGCAACCGAGAGATGTTCAATACCTTTGAGACCGTTGAGGGCGAGAAGGTTTGGATGGGAAACTCTGCTCAGTCTGCTGTGGAAGGCGTGGGCAAGGTGGTTCTGAAGATGACTTCCGGGAAGGAACTGACATTGAACAACGTGCTGTATGTTCCAGAGCTGAGGAAGAATCTGGTTTCTGGCTCACTGTTGAACAAGCATGGCTTTCGCATGGTGTTCGAGTCAAACAAGGTTGTTTTGTCTAAGTTAGGAATGTTTGTAGGCAAAGGTTATGTAACTGATGGGCTTTTTAAGCTCAATGTAATGCCTATTATCATGAATAAGAGCAAAGTTAATTCTGTTTACTTGCTTGAGTCTTCCAATTTGTGGCATGGTAGACTAGGTCACGTTAATTATAATTCTATACGTAGATTAATTAACATGGACCATATTCCTAATTTTCAAATTAACACAAATAACAAATGTGAAATTTGTGTTGAGGCAAAATTAACGAAAGTACCTTTCAAATCGGTTGAAAGGGAAACTGAACCACTAGAATTAATCCATAGTGATTTGTGCGATTTTAGATCGATATAAACGAGAGGTGGTAATAAATATTTTATCACGTTTATCGACGATAGCACACGTTATTGCTATGTGTATTTGCTTAAAAGCAAAGACGAAGCCTTGGAAAAATTCATTCTTTATATGAATGAAGTTGAAAACCAACTTAATTGTAAGATTAAGAAAGTTAGAAGCGATCGAGGTGGTGAGTACGAAGCACCTATTGGTGACTTCTGTGCGAGTGTAGGTATAATACACGAGCGTACTGCACCTTACTCACCTCAACCGAACGGTGTTGCCGAACGAAAGAATTTTACTTTGAAAGATATGATGAATGCGATGCTTATAAGTTCGGGCCTACCTCAAGACGCGTGGGGTGAGGCTATTTTGACAAGTAATTACCTTTTAAATAAGGTACCCCACAAGAAGCTTGATAAGACTCCTGAGCTGTGTGGAACGGTAGGAAACCTTCTTACCAGTACCTGAAAGTGTGGGGGTGTCTTGCTAAAGTTTTGGTGCCAACACCTAAGAAAGTAAAAATAGGTCCTAAGACAGTGGATTGTATCTTTATTGGCTATGCACATAATAGTAGTGCTTATCGGTTCTTAGTACACGAGTCCCATAATCCGGACGTACACGAGAACACGATAATAGAATCAAGGAATGCATCTTTCTTTGAAAATGTATTTCCTTGTAGGTCCAACGAGGGGCCGAGTACGTCAAAACGAACGTTTGACGAAGCTATGGATAATGATAGTGGGGAGTCCGAGAGAGAACCCGAGCTCGAGCCGAGACGCAGTAAGCGGGCGAGAGTTGAAAAATCATTTGGTCCTGATTTTCTAACTTACTTGTTAGAGTACGATTCGAGTACTATAACTTGTTTATTAGAAAATGAACCCGATTTTCTATCTTGTTTGATAGAAAACGAGCCTCGAACGTACGAAGAAGCCGTGACTTCTACAGAAGGACCAATGTGGAAAGAGGCTATTAAAAGTGAAGTGGATTCTATTTTACAGAATCACACTTGGGAACTTGTTGATCTTCCTCCGGGTAGTAAACCCTTAGGATCCAAGTGGGTCTTTAAAAGGAAGATGAAACCCGATGGTTCCATCGAGAAGTATAAGGCTAAGCTTGTAATCAAGGGTTACAGGCAACGCGAGGGCCTTGATTACTTCGACACGTATTTTCCCGTGACGAGAATAAACTCCATTAGAATGATACTTGCTATAGCCGCGCTGCGGAATTTGGAAGTTCATCAAATGGACGTTAAAACCGCTTTCCTAAATGGCGAACTAGATGAGGAAATCTATATGGAACAACCCGAAGGGTTCGTGGTTCCGGGCCAAGAAAGGAAAGTGTGTAAGTTGGTTAAATCGCTATATGGTTTAAAACAAGCGCCTAAGCAATGGCACGAGTAGTTTGGCCATGCGATGTTAACTAATGGGTTTAAAATAAACGAAAGTGACAAATGTGTCTACGTTAACGAAATGATAGACGGTTATGTCATTCTTTGTTTATACGTAGATGGCATACTCATCGTTGGTAGTAACGATCGAATGATCAAGTCTACCAAAAACATGTTAAATGCGAGATTTGACATGAAGGATATGGGTTTGGCTGATTTAATCCTCGGGATTAGAATCATTAGAAGACCTGATGGTCTGGTGTTAAGCCAATCACATTATATTGATAAAATCCTTGAAAATTTTAACAATGATAATCATCAAGGGACTAGGACGCCATTAGATCGAAGCGTTCATCTAACCAAGAACCACGGGGAGTGTATTTCTCAAGTAGAATATGCTCGGGTTATTGGTAGTTTGATGTATCTAATGAGCTGTACTGGGCTGGATATTGCCTTTGCGGTTAGTAAACTCAGTATATATACGAGTAACCCCGGTGCCATGCACTGGACGGCAATAGTGAAGGTTCTGAAATACTTAAGGTATACTCGAGACCTTGGACTGCACAATGGGAGATATCCTGCTGTACTTGAAGGGTATA